TCCTTCCTCCTGTGCCATATCTTTCTCTATCTGTCACTATGCTAATTGGGACCTCGTACATATCTCACACCCATTATCCAATGGAGGGCACTGGGCTCCACACAGTTAAACAGGGCAATAGTGCACCCCTCCATTCAAGTGGCCAGAAAGACATGGCAGATGTTGACCCATCAAATGCACTGTGACCCATTTTCACATGCCAATCTGGTGTAATCCAAATCCAAAGTTTGTCAGACAACTGTTCTTCTGGAGGCAGTGGGCTGAGAGAAGTAATCTCACTTTAGACAAAGACTGTGAATTCATTTCCTTTGAAGAGGACATATCAACTGCCCTAAAACACACACTGGCAACACCTTCAAATAAAACATATACACTGTTCCCTACATGGCCCAGCACTGCTCCCTGACTCAGAATCCCCAACATGGTTGCACAAATTGGCTGCTAGGCCAACATTATATTTACAAGAGACTCTTAACATGCAACCATCTTGACATCCAGAGACTGAGAGAAGAGTGAAGTGGGGAATTAGAATGTCACATCCAACAGTACCAGTGGGAAATAGCTATAGCTTTCATAAAATTCATATCCCCTGACCTGAAACTGCACCTCATACAGCAGAAGCTGCTCTTTCAGGCATATTGGACCCCACATCACCTGTTTTAGAAAAAAACGCTATAACTCTTTAATAAATGTTGGTGATGTGGGATGGCAAAAGCATCATTAGGGTCCCTTGCCCATCTTGGCCGATTACTAAAACTAAGGAAGGGATGTGTACCTTGGTCTACGAGGTTGTAAATGCCTCCTTGAAGGAGGGAATGGTACCAGCCTCTTTACAGGAGGCTGTGATAAAGCCGCTTTAAAAACTGAACTTGGACCCAGGGGATATGAATAATTAGAGATCTGTTGCTAACATTCCCTTCCTGGGCAAGGTGTTTGAGCAGGTGGTGGTTGAGCAGCTTCAAGAACACCTGGATGAAACAAATTATCTATATCAAAACAATTTATCTAGATTATTTCAATCAGGTTTGGGGCCTGGTTTTGGAATAGAAACCGCCTTGGTCTCCCAGTGGGATGACTTTGCCAGGAAAGAGACAGGGGAAGCGTGACCCTGTTGATTCTCCTGAACCTCTCAGTGACTTTCAGTACCATTGACCATGGTATCCTACTGCATAGGCTAGCAAGGTTGGGAACTGGAGGCACTGCTTTGCAGTGGTTCTGCTCTGACTTGACCCGTCAATTCTAGAAGGTGTTGCTGGGGATATACTGCTCTGTACCATAGCAGCTAAGCCACGGAGTACTGCAGGGTTCTATTCTATTCCTCATGCCTTTTAATATCTTCATGAAACTGCTGGGAGAGGTCATCTGGAGGTATGGGTTGAAGTGTCACCAATATGCAGATGACACTCAGCAATACCTCCCTCTTTTTACTTATTTTTGTTTTTGTTTTGAAAACAAAACAACTATAATAAACAGCAAGCTGAAGTAGACAAAGATGCCAAGGGAATTTGATACAGATCCAGCCTGTACAACCAGCCTCTGAAATCTATCCATCAACACTCCATAAAAAACGTAACACAAAAGAAATCCTTAGTCTATGCAACAAGAAATCCTTCGATCACTTCAGATGCTCCGCAGCTTCCCGTTTTCTAAACACCTCAGATCTGCTTATCATGCTGTACATCCCTCTAACATTCTTCTAAAGAGGGTACTCCACCAGTCCATTTCTCCATTCTTCAGTTGTTGGGGGCTCCAGTGATCTCCATCCAGAACCAGCTACAATTCTAACTCTGACATACTCCCTGAAAGGCTCTCCAACACTATATTTTTAAGACTCATGAAAAACTGCTTTAATTTTCTTAAAAGAAAAAAACAGTGCATTAATATTAATTGATAATATCTTCATTCTGTCTCTGAAGCTCAATCTGAGAAGCTCAGATGAGTATCTCTTTTCAAATCTGTCATCAACTTTTCGGCATCCAATTCAGATTCCTTCTCATATTCATTCTTCTCTTCTCTGCTCCTCCACACTTGCACCTTTCACATTTCTTCATACTTATAAGTAAACTACAATTTGACAGTACAACTTAAGACAGAAGAGCTAGGGGTGGAGAATCAAGAAAGAAGGGAAGAAAGAAAGAAAAAACAAAGAAAAGAGGGGGAAAGAAAAAACAAGTATATAAAGCTAGTTAGTCAGCCTTCTATCAATATTAGAATTATTCATCCCATTCTATCTCTATTAAAATATTACCATGAATTAGTTTGGTAAGAAGAGGCATTGTTCCAACTTGCATAGCAAGGGACCTTGACTTCCAATCTTCTTTAGGTCCAATAGGCAGAACTAATGGTCGTCTTCTCATAGTACAATCATGTTTGTTCTTTGGAATTATTTAATTTTTATTCTTAAGGAGGGCCAGGACCAGTGAAAAACCTCCAAATCCCATCAGGGAGAAATAATTGTTCCTTAGAGCAAATTATGTGTAATTTAGATCAACAACAACAAAATCGCCTGACTCAAACCACCAGCAACTCTCATAAAAATGGTGATGAAGAGAGAGAGAACCATTTCTTCCACTGCAGTGAGCTTCAGCCAAGGTCAATTTATAATGTCCAAGATTCTTGAATACAAATATTAGACAACTTACAGCTGCAAAATTAAGAAGAAGAGTACCCCTTTCAAAGGCCTTTCCCGGCAAAAGAAACAAATGCCTTAATCTGGATCACAACCAAAATCACAGCCTCAGGTCTCAGCTGTCCAAAAAGCACCCTTGTCCTCCTCCTCAGTTCAAAAGGCACAATTAAAATTTCCCCAGCTAGTGTTTTCATAGCAAGGTCAGTTTACACTATTCATAATTTTTAGTTCAAGAGTAAAGGACATTAAACAGCTTTGCAAATGAGATGCCATCTATCAACAGAAGATTATCTATTTCAGAGACCTTCAAAATATGCAAACAAAAATGCCTTAGGAGTTGAAACTGCATCAAATTGGTGTGTTATTCCCTTGGCAAAAAATGAAAAGAAAAATAAAAAGGGAAGAAGTGTGTGTGGGTTGACTTTGTTAACTGTTTCCAGTTTTACCTTATCAGGCCATCTTGATGTAATCAGAGCTGTAGAAGGAGAGTCTTGACACTCACCTGTCATTTAGAGAGGTAAACACCCCTCAGGGTGATTTATAATCACCCAAACATAATAAGGTAGGGGGCAGCAACATTCACTGCTGCTTCATCAAGTCTCCATTCCTGGGAAGAGCTGTACCTCTTTTTCATCAAATCCAGGTGAGGTAGTGGCTGTTCTGAATCAGTGCCTGGGCATAGTAATGATGAGGGCCAAAAAACTGAAACGCAGTCCAGACAAGACAGAGGTGTTGGTAGGCAGTTCCTCTGTCAAGCTGGGGAATATTCAACTTGTCTTGGACAGGGTTCCATTCCCCTTAAAGGGCAAGGTTCATAGTTTGGGGGTGTTCCTAGATCCTGAATTGTTGCAGGAGTCACAAGTGGACTCAGTGACCAGGAGGACATTTTATCAGCTTAGGTTGATTTACCAACCATGACTCTATCTGGACAGTACTCCCATGCCTTTTCTTTGTATGAGAGGTGCTAGTGGTGTCATACCTTAGGTGAATTAATCAATACTCCTAGGTTGCCCAGCCTCTCTTTCTCCCTGTCCCTCATTCCCACTTTCACAAGGGCTTTGGGAGGGAGATGCCATGGTGAACGGCAGCTGGTGAGGCTACAGGACGGTGATGCAGTCTCCTTGGTGGTCCTTGGCAGAAGCAGCAGTGATGATGTTGAAGCAAGTGTAGACAGCCTTGGGTGCCAGCTGGCTTAAGGGGCAGCTGGCACGAGAAAGAGGCCCAGTGTGGTGTGCTGCAGCCCTGTCACCGCTTGCCCAGCTTCTCTCCTTCATTCCTGCTCTCACCAGGGCATCAGGAGATGGACTGCGGTGGAAGGTGGCTTGCAGGGCGGGGGGGGGGGGGGGGGGGGGGGGGGGCGGGGCGTGGGGGGGGGGGGGGGGGTGGGGGGAGGCAAGGAGGCTCCTCAGCTGTTCTTCTTCTTCTTCTTCTTTTTCTTCTTCTTCTTCTTTTTTTTTACAAATGTTTGCCTTTTTGTTCCCTTTGGGTTTTTTTTTTTTTTTTTGGTAGTAGTAATCTATATAGGTAGTCCCCAGGCTATGGAGGAGTTCCTTTCCTGAGAACATCCTAGGCAAGAAGTTCATTCTTAAACAGCCTACCTATCAGATACTATCTACCCTAATAATCTGCATCTTCCATGAAAGGGGAAACCAGCATGTGGCTCTAAGAGACGCAGCAGGCATGCAGTTTAGATACAACAATAATTTACACTAAGTATATAAAACTATATCTCATTCCTAGTGTAAGTAGGGAGGGCTAATCATGTCTGCCTGTGTGAGGGATACAACCTTTAAATAATACATAACACCACTCCTCTGCTGGAATGCCTCTCTTCCTTATGAAACACCCCCTTTGCTCATCCCGCGCATAGACCCACACACTTAAGGTCAGGGGCGTGTCTGAAGCAGAAGGGGGAGAACGTGCAGTACGAAAAAGCAGCCCGCTGTTTCTAAGAGTGCGCGCGTGCGCCCCCAGTGCTTACAGATTCGGCGAAGGGGGCGAAGGAAGTTGAAGCAGCGCGCGCGCGCGCGCGCGCCCTAGAAGTGCTTCTAACCCCACCCACCACCTGTGTGCTGGCTCAAGCTGCTGCCCCTCCCTTCTTCGGGTAAATAAGAGCGGAGCGCGCCACCCGTCGCAGAAGAGACTGACCGGGCGACGCGCGCGCGCCTATGTATGCGCGCGCAGATCCGAAGAAGAAGGGCAAGGCGGTGCTACCCGCAGCTTTTAGACCCGCTGAATCACTTCACTCATTGGGCGCCACGCGTGAAAGAGAGTGGCCTATAGGTGCGCATGCTCGTCCTTTGCTTTGCGTGCTCTCCTTCCCCTCCCGCTGTGGGGGTTGTTTTGTGAGGCAAAGAACGAGTGGCTGAGCGAGAGGGGGTAGCGGCAGTAGCCGCCGCCATCACGATCCCGTTTCCCGTCAGCATTGCCCCCAGCTTGGCTGTACTATCTGAGGAGGGAAGGAAGGGGTGAGCCGCTCCTCCCCTTCTCTTCCCTGTCCCGGTTGGGATGTGGTGAGGCGGGCGGGCAGGCAAGGCACCCCAACCTCTGACTGGCAGCCCCTCCCCCAGAGTCCCGGGGCAGAGGAAGGGAAGGAGCAGAAACTGAAGTTGCCGTGCCCCGAGGGGAGCTCGAGCGGATCCTAACCTCGGAGTAGGTGAGTGAAGAGAGAATCGTTAAAGGAGGACTCGTCCTAGCGGGCGCTACCTCAGGATGACGGAAGGCAGGCTCTGGATGGGTGTGCCTGGCTAACCTATGCGGGGGTGGGGAAGAGGGATTCTGTCATCGTGTTCGACTGTCTTCCCCGCCCCCCATTGTCATATCGCTGTAACATCTATGTGGACGGCAGGAAGAGGATGGGTTCCCACTGTTTGGAGGAGTGTGTGCGTGGTAGTAGATCTTCTGTATGCATAAATATATAAAGCCGATTTTATATTATCCACCATGCATTTCTGTAGTTTGAGTACACACGCGCCCACATGTATGTACATTGACATTAAAGGTCAGATTATTGAGATTTGTATAACCGACATTTCTACAGTACAAGAAATGTACCGATATTACAAAGTATAATTTAGTAAAATGTTGCTTGTGGAGATCACTTAGTGATCCATTGTTTTCTCATAACAGGGTGGCATGAGATGGGAGGTAAATATTTATGTATTTCGGTCAAAAACTTGGTAGTACATGAGTTGGAAGAATGCTGCTGCTGTGTATATCACAACATAGTTGTAAGGAGGGAAGTATCATGGGCTGTCAGTATCATTTATTTTCCCCACCCATCACCATCCCAAATCTAGTTATATTGGTGGTGGGTCATGTGTATCCTTAGAAGAATATCATTATAGGATCACCATGGTAGAATGGATCATCACCGTATCTTGAAGAGGAAGCATTTCTAGTGCCTTATAAGGTAAAAGAATGGCTTCTTGAATTAAATTATTGCAGAGACAGAGTTAGTGCTGTATTGCTTTTGGTGACAAATGTGAATGTGGGACCAGTGGTGCATGTGGGAAAGTATCCTGTACATGTTTTGGGTCATATGAACCATGGAGTCAGAGGTGATGGCTGTAGTGCATCATTGGTACAAACTGAGTATAAATTGGGAGCAGAAAGATTCCATTATATCAGAATATGCATAAAGTTCTTTAATATGCGTGCTGATATCAGTCATGTAGGAGAACTGAGAACATCTTGACATGAAGAATGTGGTAAGTCTTTGTATGTCAGGAATGAAAAGTAGGGACATCTGGGGGCTATTTGGTATTGGAACAGACATTGAAGCAGGCTGAACCGTGTTGGTGATAAATGGTCAGACTGTGTTTGTTAGATGTCATTCATGCTGATAGGCCATATGGTAATGTAGGGATTACTGATAGCCCAGTTGGTGAGTGGAAGGAAGGAAAGGTCTCTTTGATATAGCTGGTGGAGAAACAATTATATTGGGAAATAAATGATCATGTTAATCTTTGTGAATTCAAATTTTGGTGGCCAACATGCATAACTGGAGCCAAATGATTTGTACTCATTGGCTTGACAGTAACATCCAGCCTAATTCTAGTGCCCTTCTTATGGTGAATAGTTAGAAATGGTAGGACTGTGTTAACTACTTGGAGGGCTGTGTGCAGAAGGTTTTTTGGGGGGAATATTGTTCAGCTCCTTGGATTCTCTAGCATGGAGTTCCTCAGGGGTCTGTTCTGTTCCCCCTGCTATTCAACATCTACATTAAACCTTTGAGTGGGGTCATCTGGAGTTTTGGAGTACATTGCCATCAGAAATAGATGCAGGTCTATTTCTCCTTTTCATCATCAGCTGGTGAGGCTGTGGATGTGCTAAACCAAGGCCTGTCTATGACAGTGTCCTGGATGAGGGCCAACAAACTGAAACTCAATCCAGACCAGACTGAGATGCTGTTGGTGGGTGGCTCTTTTGACTGGATTGGGGGTGTTCGACCTGTTCCAGATGGGGGTTGCACTCACCTTGAAAAGAACAGGTTTGTAGCTGGGGGTGCACCTTGATCCATCTTTGTTGCTTGAGGCTTGGGTGGCATTGTGGCTCAGAGCGCCTTTTATCAGCTTTGATTGGTGACCCAGCCACACCCCTATTTGGACAGAGATAGCCTGGACTTCAGTAGTCTGGACTCTGGTAATCTCTAAACTGGGTTATTGGAATGTACATGGGGCTGCCCTTGAAGATGGTTCAGAAGCTGCAGCTGATGCAGAACACAGCAGCCAGATTAATAACTACAACCCACAAGTCTGAACATGTAAGACCAGTTCTGGCCTGCTTGAATTGGCTGCGTGTATTCTTCCAGTCCAAATTCAAGGTGTTGGTTTTAACCTATAAAGCCTTACACAGTTTAGGACAAAAATACCTACTTGTTGGAGCACCTCTCCCAACCATGATCTTACCTGGACACTACACTCAATCTCCAAGTGCTAACTCGGAGGTGTGGAGAATAGCAACAAGTGCGGGGCTTTCTCTGTGGTGGCCACCCATCTATGCAAAACCTTCCTCCATGTCCCAGCTGGTGCCAAATCTGTCATCTTTCTTGTGCCAGGTTAAGATGGCCCCCTTTTCTGAGGCTTTTAAGGACTTATTCAGACACCAGAGGCTTTGGGGAGATCATCAGGTAATTTGCAGGGTCACTCTTTCACTTTTTTTTTTGTCTTTTTTCTTCTCTCTCTCTGTCTGTTTTTAGCTGTTTTAACTTCTTAATATTTTTTCTGATTTTTGATATTTTATTGTATTTTTTCATCTGTTTCTATGGACAATATGAACTGTCCAAAGAGCTTCAGCTGGGCAATGAAATAAAACAAATTCAGGCTGGATCAAAAATGCAATTTATATAATTGTTTTGATACAGGCTACATTCATTTTCCTAGCAATAAGAATAATTGGGACCAAAATCCAGTTTTTAAAAATATGAAATCAGTATGGGGTTGCTTCAGTCTTATCAGAAATATCAGTTCATTATGGTCAAGATGAAAGCAGCAATGCTTTGCAACATGTATGTTTTAAGGTACTGTGGTGAACTGATTTATTAATCTTACAAGAATGGTACAATCAACCAGTCCTCTTTAAATGGAGAGTATATTTGTTGTTGTTATGTGCCAGCAAGTTATCTCTGATTTATGGCAACCCAATAAATGTAAGCACTCCAAAATGTCCTATCCATGACAACTCTGCTCAGCTATTGTAAATTCAAGTCTGGGGCTTATTTATGGAGTCAGCCCATCTCATATTTGGCCTTCCCTTCTTCTACTTATGGCTTTCCCTAGCATGATTGTCTTCTCTGGATAGCTTTGCCCTCATGATATGTCCAAAGTATGACAGCCTTACTTTGTCTTTTTTGCTTCTAGGGAAATTTTTCACTCAAGGAGGGTAAATTTCAGATACAAAATTGAGGACTAGTTCTAAGTATATATATTTTAAAGAAGATTCCACTGCAGTTGTTGAATCTGTTTTACTGTCATCAAGTATTAAAATGAGTTTTGGTAACTTTGGCAATTTTGTCCTCTAAGCTCTCTCTTGTTTGCCTTATTACCAATTTAAATTTGTTTTACATACTCTTATTTCATCTGGAGATTTCTGTTTTTTTGTCTTACCTTTTATACTACTGTGATTTTGATAATATGAGGTCAGTTTTCTGTACACACACCTGAGTATGTGTGCATTGAATTCATTAAGACTTTCTTCCAAGGATTTCGTTGGCAACGTTTTGGGTTTATTTGCTTTTCCTGATAGTTTGTGTCACACGCTTAAGGTGCCTTATTTAGAGTGGTTTTTGAAACCTCTGTAAGTAGGGATTTGCCCTATCTACTGTACTTTTCCATTTTTAAAAAATAATTTACAGACAATCCCCAGGTTCTGTTCCTGAGAATGTCTTTAAGTCAAATTTGTAAATTGAATCACATGTTGTGTTAAGCACGAGTAAGCCAAATGCTTGGCTTAGTATAGGTATATATTTTATCTTTCTCTGCATATAAAACACTTAAGAAACACTTCCATATACAGTCAGCTTCCCACATTCATGGATGTTAGGGGTGTGAAAGTAGAAAAACTGTGAATATCTCTATCCCCACAAACCTTAATGCTTAATACTATTGCCCATATGTATACTGGATTGCTTTCTCCTTCTCTCTCTCAGACCTTGGTCTGATCAGCAGGGCTCCTCTTCTTCATTTATTACATTCTCATGTTCTTATTCCCCACCCTCCCTTTTACTGACCACTGTTCCTCTTTGCACCAATGAAATGCCAAAGAGATTTCTCTCTCTCTGGATGAGCAGGGCAAGAAGGCATGCTTTGGAGGCTCCCTCTTTCTCCTTTCACTTCATTTCTTTTTATGGTGATGACAATTTTCCACAGTTGACCGCAAAACTCCAAAAGCTTCCATGTTCATTACTATGAACCGTTTGTCTTTAATGCAAATTTTTAAATTAATAGACTTTATGGCATTTCATTTGTAAGTATGGATGTTCGTAACCTGGGGACTTCCTATATCATATGGATATACTGTTGTAAACTGCCTTGAGAAGTTCAGCTTTGGGGAGGTATAGAAATGAAATAACAATACCACCACCACCACCACATCATAGAATCATAAAACAGTAAAGTTGGAAGGTGCCAAGAAGGCCACTGAGTCCAACCGCCTGCTCAGTGCAGGACTCCAGATCAAATCGCCCCTCTCAGATGGCTGTACAGCTGCATCATGAATGCCTCTAGTGTGGGAGAGCCCACAGCCTTCTGGAGTAATTCGTTCCATTGTCATACTGCTTTAACAATCAGGAAATTCTTCCCAATGTTAGTCACCTAATGATTGATAACTTTCTGTATTTGAACTGATTGCATTGACTATGTTATGGATCCCTTCTTTCTCAAAGTTGGGTTTGAATTTACACTAAATGTATATTTAATCAGTTTCCTCTGAATATAATTCTGGTGTTTGGAGTTTAATACATTTTGTCCAGTTTTGCTTTTTGGGATTCTACAAGAACATCTTGTATTGTACAAACGTTTGTACAAAATTGATAAATAGGCCTCCCACTTGTGATGGATAATCAAATAATAAAAATTTATCATTTCCTATAGTGTTTTCAATTAATGTTAGGGAGGCCTATTACTAGAAGAAAAAAAATGTCTTGGACAGTCCTCT